CTCGGGCCCTGCTGGCCTGGCTGCAAGGGACAGACAGAGCAAGAGCTCATCCCGTTTCAGCGCTGCCTCTCTGTGCCACTGCCCCTGTCAGCTGCAGAGGGGGAAAAAAACCCCCAAAATTAACCTTAGGGGAGAGAGGGGTCCCAGGGACCCCCAGGGCTTGTGATACCTGATAAGGGGCTGGTGGCACAGCACCAGAGCTGGCGGGCAATGACACTGGGACAGGATGGCTAGGGGGTGGGATGCCACCAAGGGACATGGGGTGCATGGCCCACAGGAGGGGGCATGGTGACCCCAGGGAGGGTTACGATCCCTTGGAGGGGACTGAACGCAAGGCAAGGGGATGCCGATGGCGACGTTTACGCCCATTGTGGGAAACGAGTCCCCGGTTTTCACCGTGACCCGTCTTGGTGGCCAGGGCTGGTGGCCAGGACAGAGCTGGTCTGGGCACTGTCCCTCCAGAGCCAACCCCTGTCCCCAGGCCACTCACTTGGGGAAGGCATCGAACCAGTAGGTCTTCTTGGTCTCAGGGAAGGCGACTCTCATGCCGGAGGTGAGCGGGGAGTGCAGCACGATGGCGGCGCACTCGTAGCGGGAGGCCAGGTCCACCGTGGGCACTGTGCCGATGCTCTGTCCATATAAAATAATGTTCTCCGGGCTGATCCCGTATCTGGGAGAGGAGACGGCAGGTCAGCGCCCAAGCACCAGAGTCACAGCCCGGGACGTCACCCTGCTCTGGCCACAGCACCCTGCAGGGCTCTCTGGGGTGGGGGGAACAGGGCTCTGTGCACCCTGCCTTCCTCCAGCTCCTCGTGCCTGGGCCCAAAGCCGCTGCCCCACACCCCGGCAGGACCAGGGGGGGCTGAGCTGCCAGAGGAGTTTTGGGGGGGCATCGAGGCCCACCCTTGCCAGGAGCAGGGCTACGGGCGGGTTCCCTGACCCCGGATCACAGCCGCGCAGGGCAGCCCCCCTGTTCCCGGCCGCAGGCAGGGCAGAGCCCCTCACCGGGCTGGGAACCGGGGCTGAGCACAGCCTGGGGAGAGCCGGGGAACAGCAAAACGCGGAGCACAGCTTACGCCAGCACCCCCCAGCAAGGTCACACCCCCCCAGCATCCCTGTCCCTCCGCGTCCCCTGCCCTCCTCCTTCTGCAGCTGCCTTCCGGACACCCCTTCCCGTTACCCCGGCTTC